AATTGAGGGTACACAGGTAGTTCTGCTGTTACCTGTCTTGGACAATCAGCGTTACCAAATGACGATACACAGGAGGGCCTGGTGTTACCTGTCTTGGACAATCAGCGTTACCAAGTGACGGTTCATAGGTGGGCCAGGTGTTACCTGCCTTGGACAATCAGTGTTACCGAGTGACGGTACACAGATGGGCCTGGTGTTACATGTCTCGGACAATCACCGTTACTGAGTGACGGTACACAGGTGGGCCTGATGTTACCTGTCTGGGATAATCAGCGTTATTGAGTGAGTGTGCACAGGCGGGTCTTATTTTACCTGTTTGGGACAATCAGCGTTACCGAGAGAGGGTACACATGTAGGCCTGGTGTTACCTGTCTGGGACAATCAGTGTTATTGAGTGAAGGTAAAAAGTTGCGCCTGGTGCTACCTGTCTTCGACCATCATAGTTACCGATAGGGGTTACACAGATGGGCCTGTTGTTACCTGTATTCGACAATCAGCGTAACCGTGTGTGGGTACACAGCTGGTACTGTTGTTACCTGTCTGGGACAATGAGCGTCACCGAGTGAAGGTACACATGTGGGCCTTGGGTTACCTGTCTGGGACAATCTGCGTTACCGAGTGACGGTACACAGGTGGGCCTGGTGTTACCTGTCTGGGACAGTAAGTGGTACTGAGTGAAGGTAAAAAAGGTGGGCCTGTTGTTACCTGTCTGGGACAATCAGCGTTACCGAGTGACGGTACACAGATGGGCTTGGTGATACCTGTCTCAGACAATCAGCGTTACCGAGTGACGGTACACATGTTGGCCTGGTGTTACCTGTCTGGGATAATCAGCGTTATTGAGTGAGTGTGCACAGGCGGGGCTTATTTTAACTGTTTGGGACAATCAGCGTTACCGAGTGACGGTACACATGTTGGCCTGGTGTAACGTGTCTGGGACAATCAGCGTAACGAAGTAACGGTTCACATGTTGGCCTGGGACAATCAGCGTTACCGTGTGACGGTACACATGTGGGCCTGTTGTTACCTGTCTGAGATAATCGGCGTTACCGAGTTACGGTACACAGGTGGGCCTGGTGTTACCTGTCTTGGACAATCAGCGTAACCGAGTGACGGTACACATGTTGGCTTGGTATTATATGTCTGGGACAATCAGTGATATTGAGTGAAGGTAAAAAGTTGGGCCTGGTGCTACCTGTCTTGGACAATCGGCGTTACCGAGTGAGGGTACACAGGTGGGCCTGGTGTTACCTGTCTTCGACAATCATAGGTACCGTGAGGGGTTAAACAGGTGGGCCTGGTGTTACCTGTATTGGACAATCAGCGTTACCGTGTGTGGGTACACAGGTGGGACTGTTGTTACATGTCTGGGACAATGAGCGTCACCGAGTGAAGGTACACATGTGGGTCTTGGGTTACCTGTCTGGGACAATCTGCGTTACCGAGAGAGGGTACACAGGTGGGCGTGGTGTGACCTGTCTGGGACAAACAGCGTTACTGAATGAGGGTACACAGGTTGGCCTGGTGTTTCCTGTCTTTGACAATCAGCGTTACTGAATGAGGGTACACAGGTTGGCCTGGTGTTACCTGTCTGGGACAATCAACACGTTACCGAGTGACGGTACACAGGTGGGCCTGGTGTTACCTGTCTTTGACAATTAGCGTTACTGAATGAGGGTACACAGGTTGGTGTTACCTTTCTGGGACAATCAACGTTACCGAGTGACGGTACACAGGTGGGCCTGGTGTTACCTGTCTGGGACAGTAAGTGGTACTGAGTGAAGGTAAAAAAAGGGGGGGCCTGTTGTTACCTTTCTGGGACAATCAGCGTTACCGAGTGACGGTACACAGATTGGCTTGGTGATACCTGTCTGGGACAATCAGCGTTACCGAGTGACGGTACACATGTTGGCCTGGTGTTACCTGTCTGGGATAATCAGCGCTATTGAGTGAGTGTGCTCAGGCGGGTCTTATTTTACCTGTTTGGGACAATCAGCGTTACCGAGTTACGGTACACATGTTGGCCTGGTGTTACCTCCCTGGGATAATCAGCGTTATTGAGTGAGTGTGCACAGGCGGGGCTTATTTTACCTGGTTGGGACAATCAGCGTTACCGAGTGACGGTACACATGTGGGCCTGGTGTTACGTGTCTGGGACAATCAGCGTAACGAAGTAACGGTACACATGTTGGCCTGGGGCAATCAGCGTTACCGAGTGACGGTACACATGTGGGCCTGTTGTTACCTGTCTGAGATAATCAACGTTACCGAGTTACGGTACACAGGTGGGCCTGGTGTTACCTGTCTTGGACAATCAGCGTAACCGATTGACGGTACACATGTTGGCTTGGTATTATATGTCTTGGATAATCAGCGTTACCGAGTGACGGTACACATGTTGGCCTGGTGTTATATATCTGGGATAATTGGCGTTACCGAGTAACGGTACACATGTGGGCCTCGTGTTACCTGTCTGGGACAATCAGTGTTATTGAGTGAAGGTAAAAAGTTGGGCCACGCTACCTGTCTTGGACAATCAGCGTAACGAAGTAACGGTACACATGTAGGCCTTGGACAATCAGCGTTACCGAGTGACGGTACACAGGTGGGCCTGTTGTTACCTGTCTGAGATAATCAGCGTAACCGAGTGACGGTACACATGTTGGCTTGGTATTATATGTCTTGGATAATCAGCGTTACCGAGTGACGGGACACATGTTGGCCTGGTGTTATATATCTGGGATAATTGGCGTTACCGAGTTACGGTACACAGGTGGGCCTGGTGTTACCTGTCTGGGACAATCAGTGTTATTGAGTGACGGTACACAGGAGGGCTTGGTGATACCTGTCTCGGACAATCAGCGTTACCGAGTGAGGGTACACAGGAGGGCTTGGTGATACCTGTCTCGGCCAATCAGCGTTACCGAGTGACGGTACACAGGTGGGCCTGGTGTTACCTGTCTGGGAAAATCAGCGTTACGAATTGACGGTACACATGTTGGCTTGGTATTATATGTCTTGGATAATCAGCGTTACCGAGTGACGGTACACATGTTGGCCTGGTGTTATATATCTTGGATAATCGGCGTTACCGAGTGACGGTACACATGTTGGCCTTGTGCTACCTGTCTGGGATAATCAGCGTTACGAAGGGAAGGTACAAAGATGGCTTGTTTGTGAAATGAAAACGAAACATACATTACAAATGTTGCACGAGCAAAATAACAGCCTGACTTATATATAATAGGACGACCCTTTTTAACACGGAACTATATAACCAACATTTACATAATTCGGGATTCGAATATGTTTGATAAGTAATTAACTCACGCAAAAGTTGCTTATCTAATTACTTCACTCGGGTTATCAATTCCACCATACTACATTTACACGCTCATATATCGAACATTTCTTTCAATCCATCAAATGCTGCTATAGAAGTCAAGTAGAATCAACTTGATTACTTGATGTCAAATTAAATAAATCAATATCATATAAATAAATCTTGTTTATTTTTTTATCATTCCAGGGAAACACGTATTCTGCGAAAAACCACTTGCACCAACGTTGGAGTCAGTCAAGGCGTGCTATGCGGAGGCAAAACGCCAACAGAAAGTCCTGTTTTGTGCTGTAAACAGGTAACAAAAACACTGTTACGTCCGGTTTTGAAAGTAATGAGCTCACGTCCTGCAATTTCCTTTCAATGAATTTAAAAGGACTAAATTTTGTTTTTGGATTGACGTTATAGTGGTTGAGTGACGTTATACTGGTTGATAGACGTTTTAGTGGTTGTTGGACTTTACAGCTGGTGATTGGCGTTATAGTGGGTGAGTGCCGTGATCGTGGTTGATAAGCGTTATAGTGGGCGAGGGACGTTATAGTGGGTAAGAAACACTATATTGGGAGAGTGATGTTATAGTGGTTGAGAGACGTTATAGTGGGTAAGAAACATTATATTGGGTGAGTGACGTTATAGTGGGTGAGAGACGTTATAATGGGTAAGAAACATTATATTGGGTGAGAGACGTTATAGTGGGTGAGAGACATTATAGTGGGTGAGAGACGTTATAGTGGATGAGAGACGTTAAAATGGATAAGAAATATTATAGTGGGTGAGAGACATTATACATTATATTGGGTGAGTGATGTTATAGTGGTTGAAAGACGTTATATTGGTTGAGTGTCGTTATAGTGGGTGAGAGACGTTATAGTGGTTGAAAGACGTTATATTGGTTGAGCGTCGTTATGGTGGGTGAGAGACGTTATAGTGGTTGAGTGTCGTTATGGTGGGTGAGAGACGTTATAGTGGTTGAGTGACGTTATATTGGTTGATAGACGTTTTAGTGGTTGTAGGTCTTTACAGCTGGTGATTGACGTTATAGTGGGGGAGTGACGTTATCGTGGTTGAGAAACGTTATAGTGGGCGAGGGCCGTTATAGTGAGTGAGTGATGTTATAGTGGTTGAAAGACGTTATATTGGTTGAGCGTCGTTATGGTGGGTGAGAGACGTTATAGTGGTTGAGTGACGTTATATTGGTTGATAGACGTTTTAGTGGTTGTAGGACTTTACAGCTGGGGATTGACGTTATAGTGGGTGAGTGACGTTATCGTGGTTGAGAAACGTTATAGTGGGCGAGGGACGTTATAGTGAGTGAGTGATGTTATAGTGGTTGAAAGACGTTATATTGGTTCAGTGTCGTTATGGTGGGTGAGAGACGTTATAGTGGTTGAAAGACGTTATATTGGTTGAGTGTCGTTATGGTGGGTGAGAGACGTTATATTGGTTGAGTGTCGTTATGGTGGGTGAGTGACGTTATAGTGGGTGAGAGACGTTATAGTTGGTGAGAGACGGTATAGTGGTTGATAGACGTTAAAGTGGTTGTAGGACTTTACAGCTGGTGATTGACGTTATAGTGGGTGAGTGACGTTATCGTGGTTGAGAAACATTATAGTGGTTGATTGACGTAATAGTAGCTTAAAGACGTTAGAGTAGGTGAGTGATGTTATAGTGGTTGAGTGACGTGATAGTGGTTTATAGACGTTATATTGTTTGAGAGAAGTTATAGTGGTCGCGAGGCGTTATATTGGGTGAGACGCATTATAGTGGGTGAGAAGACGTTATAGTGGGTGAGAGACATTATAGTGGGTGAAAGACGTTATAGTGGTTGAGCGACATTATAATGGGTGAGGGACGTTATAGTGGGTGTTAGACATTATAGTGGGTGAGAGACGTTATAGTGGTTGAGCGACGTTATAGTGGGTGAGAGACATTATAGTGGGTGAGAGAAATTATAGTGGGTGAGAAACATTATATTGGGTGAGTGACGTTATATTGGGTGAGTGATGTTATAGTGGTTGAGAGACGTTATAGTGGGTGAGTGACGTTATAGTGGGTGAGTGACGTTATAGTGGGTGAGAGACATTATATTGGTTGAGTGACGTTATAGTGGTTGAGAGACGTTATAGTAGGTGAGACACGTTATATTGGGTGACTGACGTTATAGTGGGTGAGTGATGTTATAGTGGTTGAGAGACGTTATAGTGGGTGAGTGACGTTATAGTGGGTGAGAGACATTATAGTGGGTGAGAGACATTATAGTGGGTGAAAGACATTAAAGTGGGTGAGAAACATTATATTGGGTGAGTGACGTTATAGTGGGTGAGGGATATTATATTGGGTGAGTGACGTTATAGTGGGTGAGAAACATTATATTGGGTGAGTGACGTTATAGTGGGTGAGAAACATTATATTGGGTGAGTGACGTTATAGTGGGTGAGAGACATTATAGTGGGTGAGAGACATTATAGTGGGTGAGAGACGTTATATTGGGTGAGAAACATTATATTGGGTGAGTGACGTTATAGTGGGTGAGAAACATTATATTGGGTGAGTGACGTTATAGTGGGTGAGGGACATTATAGTGGGTAAGAGACATTAAACATTATATTGGGTGGGTGATGTTATAGTGGTTGAAAGACGTTATATTTGTTGAGTGACGTTATCGTGGTTGAGAGACGTTATAGTGGTTAAAAGACGTTATATTGGTTAAGTGTCGTTATGTTGGGTGAGAGACGTTATATTGGTTGAGTGACGTTATACTGGTTGATAGACGTTATAGTGGTTGTAGGACTTTACAGCTGGTGATTGACGTTATAGTGGGTGAGTGACGTTATAGTGGGTGAGAGACGTTATAGTGGTTGAGAAATGTTATAGTGGTTGATTGACGTAATAGTGGCTTAAAGACGTTAGAGTGGGTGAGTGATTTTATAGTGGTTGAGTGACGTGATAGTGGTTTATAGACGTTATAGTAGTTGAGTGACGCTATAATGGTTGAATGACGTTATAGTGTTTAAGAGAAGTTATAGTGATTGCGAGGCGTTATATTGGTTGAGTGACGATATAGCGGGTGAGAAACGATATAGTGGGTGAGAGACATTATAGTGGGTGAGAAACATTATAGTGGTTGAGCGACGTTATAGTGGTTGAAAAACGTTAAAGTGGTTGAGAAACGTTAAAGTGGGTGAGAGACGTTAAAGTGATTGAGTGACGTTAAAGTGGGTAAGAGACGTTGTAGTGGTTGATAGACGTTATAGGGGTTGAATGACGTTATAGAAGGGGAAAGATGTTATAGTGGGTGAGTGATGTTATAGTGGTTGAAAGACGTTATAGTGGGTGAAATACGTTATAATGGTTGAGAAACGTTAGATTAGGTGATAGACGTTATAGTGCTTGATTGTCGTTATAGTGGTTGAGATACGTTATAGTGGCTAAAAGACGTTATAGTGGTTGAGAAACGTAAGAGTAGGTGATATACGTTATGCTGGGTGAGTGACGTTATAGTTGTTGATTTACGTTATTGCAGGTGAGACACGTCATAGTGGGTGAGATACGTTATAGTGGTTCGGAGACGTTATAGTAGGTGAGAGACGTGATATTGGTTGATTGACGTTATAGTAGTAGAGTGACGTTATAGTGGGTGAGAGACGTTACTGCATGTGAGTGACCTTAAACTGATTAAGTGACGTTATAATGGGCGAGAGACGTTATAGTAGTTGAGTGAGGTTATAGTGGGTGAGAGACGTTATAGTGGTTGAGTGACCTAATAGTGGATGAGAGACGTTATAGTGGGTGAGAGACGTTATAGCGGTTGAATGACGTTAAACTGGTTGAGAGACGTTATAGTGGTTGATTGACGTTATAATGGTTTAAAGACGTTATAGTGGGTGAGTGATGTTATAGTGGTTGAGTGACGTGATAGTGGTTTATAGACGTTATAGTAGTTGAGTGATGTTATAATGGTTGAATGACGTTATAGTGTTTAAGAGAAGTTATAGTGGTTGCGAGGCGTTATATTGGTTGAGTGACGATATAGCGGGTGAGAAACGATATAGTGGTTGAGTGACGTTATAGTAGGTGAGAGACGTTATAGTGGGTAAGAGACGTTGTAGTTGTTGATAGACGTTATAGAGGTTCAGTGACGTAATAGTGGTTGAAAGACGTTATAGTGGGTGAAATACGTTATAATGGTTGAGAAACGTTAGATTAAGTGATATACGTTATAGTGGTTGATTGACGTTATTGAAGGTGAGAGACGTTTTAGTGGTTAAGTGACGTTATAGTGGCTAAAAGACGTTTTAGTGGTTGAGAAACGTAAGAGTAAGTGATATACGTTATGTTGGGTGAGTGACGTTATAGTTGTTGATTTACGTTATTGTAGGTGAGACACGTTATAGTGGGTGAGAGACGTTATAGTGGAGAAGATACGTTATATTAGGTGAGAGACGTTAGTGTATGTGAGTGACGTTATAGTTGTTGATTTATGTTATAGTGGGTGAGAGACGTTATAGTGGGTGAGAGACGTTATAGTGGGTGAGAGACGTTATAGTGGAGGAGATACGTTATATTAGGTGAGAGACGTTACTGTATGTGAGTGACGTTATAGTTGTTGATTTACGTTATAGTAGGTGAGACACGTTATAGTGGGTGAGAGACGTTATAGTGGGTGAGAGACGTTATATTAGGTGAGAGACGTTACTGTATGTGAGTGACCTTATAATGGTTATGTGACGTTATAGTGGTTGAGTGACGTTATAGTGGTTGAGTGACGTTATAATGGGTGAGAGACGTTATAGTAGGGGAGAAACGCTATAGTGGTTAACAGGCGTTTTATTGGTTGAGCGAGCAACAAACAGTAAGGCACATTAACAAGTATAATAAAACAGCAAGACACACTAACGAGTATGATAAAACAACAAGGCACACTAACGAGTATGATAAAAACAACAAGGCACACTAACGAGCAAAATAAAACAGCAAGACACACTAACGAGTATAAAAACACAGCAAGACATACTAACGGGTATAATAAAACAGCAAGACACACTAACGGGAATAATAAAACAGCAAGACACACTAACGAGAATAAAAACACAGCAAGACATACTAACGAGTATAATAAAACAACAAGACAAACTAACGAGTATAATAAAACAGCAAGACACACCAACGAGCATAATAAAACAGCAAGACACACTAACTAGTATAATAAAACAGCAAGACACACCAACGAGGATAATAAAACAGCAAGACACACTAACGAGGATAAAAACACAGAAAGACATACTAACGAGTATAATAAAACAGCAAAACATGCTAACGAGTATAATAAAACAGCAAGACACACTCACGAGTATTATAAAACAGCAAGACACACTAACGAGTATAAAAAAACAGCAAGACACACTAACGAGTATAATAAAACAGCAAAACATGCTAACGAGTATAATAAAACAGCAAGACACACTCACGAGTATTATAAAACAGCAAGACACACTGGTGAGTGATGTTATAGTGGGTGAGAGACGTTATAGTGGGTGAGAGACGTTATATTAGGTGAGAGACGTTACTGTATGTGAGTGACCTTATAATGGTTATGTGACGTTATAGTGGTTGAGTGACGTTATAATGGGTGAGAGACGTTATAGTAGGGGAGAAACGCTATAGTGGTTAACAGGCGTTTTATTGGTTGAGCGAGCAACAAACAGCAAGGCACATTAACAAGTCTAATAAAACAGCAAGACACACTAACGAGTATAAAAAAACAGCAAGACACACTAACGAGTATAATAAAACAACAAGACATATTAACGAGCATAATGACACAGCAAGACACACCAACGAGTATAATAAAACAGCAAGACACACTAACACGCATAATGAAACAGCAAGACACACCAACGAGTATAATAAAACAACAAGGCACACTAACGAGTATAATAAAACAGCAAGACACACTCACGAGTATTATAAAACAGCAAGACACACTAACGAGTATAATAAAACAGCAAAACATATTAACGAGCATAATAAAACAGCAAGACACACTAACGAGTATAATAAAACAACAAGACACTAACGAGTATAACAAAACAACAAGACACTAACGAGTATAAAAAAACAACAAGATATATTAACGAGCATAATAAAAAAGGAAGACACACTAACGAGAATGATAAAACAAGGCACACGAACGAGTATAATAAAACAGCAAGACACACTCACGAGTATAATAAAACAGAAAGACACACTAACGGGTATAATGAAACAGCAAGACACACAAACGAGTATAACAAAACAACAAGACACTAACGAGTATAACAAAAAAGCAAGACACACTAAGGAGTATAATAAAACAGCAAGACATACTAACGAGTATAATAAAACAGCAAGATATATTAACGACCATAATAAAACAGCAAGACACACTAACGAGTATAATAAAACAGCAAGACATACTAACGAGTATAATAAAACAACAAGACATATTAACGAGCATAATAAAACAACAAGACACACTAACGAGTATAATAAAACAGCAAGACACACCAACGAGGATAATAAAACAGCAAGACATACTAACGAGTATAATAAAACAGCAAGATATATTAACGACCATAATAAAACAGCAAGACACACTAACGAGTATAATAAAACAGCAAGATATATTAACGAGCATAATAAAACAGCAAGACACACTGACGAGTATAATAAAACAGCAAGACACACTAACGACTATAATAAAACAACAAGATATATTAACGAGCATAATAAAAAAGCAAGACACACTAACGAGTATAATAAAACAGCAAGATATATTAACGACCATAATAAAACAGCAAGACACACTAACGAGTATAATAAAACAACAAGATATATTAACGAGCATAATAAAAAAGCAAGACACACTAACGAGTATAATAAAACAGCAAGACACACTAACGACTATAATAAAACAACAAGATATATTAACGAGCATAATAAAAAAGCAAGACACACTAACGAGTATAATAACACAGCAAGACACACTAACGAGTATAATAAAACAGCAAGACACACTAACTGGTATAATAAAACAGCAAGACACACTAACGAGTATGATAAAACAACAAGACACACTAACGAGTATGATAAAACAACAAGACACACTAACGAGTATGATAAAACAACAAGACACACTAACGAGTATGATAAAACAACAAGGCATACTTACGAGCATGATAAAACAACAAGACATATCAACGAGTATAATAAAACAACAAGACATATTAACGAGTATAATAAAACAACAAGACACCCTAACGAGTATAATAAAACAACAAGATATATTAACGAGCATAATAAAAAAGCAAGACACACTAACGAGTATAATAAAACAGCAAGACACACTCACGAGTATTATAAAACAGCAAGACACACTAACGAGTATAATAACACAGCAAGACACACTAACGAGTATAATAAAACAACAAGACACACTAACGTGTATAATAAAACAACAAGACACACTAACGAGCATAACAAAAGCTTATCAATACAAAAAAGTTTCACCTCCATTTCGTAGGATTCCACGATACTTTTCTGTTTGTTTTGATGTCATTTTAATTAATGTCCGATTTCGACGACTTTTTTCGATTCGTATTAATGAAAGTACACAAATAATATAAGATTTGTTCATGTCAATTTACAAGACAATGCTGAAAAGTCCTGACAAAATTGATACCCTCTGCCATTTGGAACTACTTGAACTAAATCCTTCTTTTTCTTCCAGACGATTTGATCCTCAGTTGCGTCAAATCCATGACGATTTAATTGTCGGAAAGTTCGGAAAGCCTCGGGTCATTAAGATGACGTCACATGACCTAGGCCAGTCAATGGAATACTTCAAGTATAGTACCGGTAATACAAAACAGATAAGGGGCTCGTTATCAAATTCAAATAACGAAATGTCTAGAGGAGCTATCTGGTAGGCAAGTAAATATTTCAAACTTTTGTATCCAGGTTTAATAAAAACGAAGTTCCAGAAAGTTTAATTTAGACCCGCTCCCTTTCTCCTCGTTTAGTGTATTAACAACTCTGACCGATAATACTCCTCCTCTATACAGTTTGCTGACTGTATGTAACTTTTCCGCTCCCGAGTGTGAAACAGAAACGGACTTAAACCTCGACATCGATCCCAAAGGTTTTAGGTCGGGAAAGATTGATACTAGCAAGGGAAAATGATTATGTGGTTACGAAATTAATCTATTTCAATGAGTAAGTTTGAATTATAACCAGCGCAAGTCGAGCATAACGTTAAACATGAAGCTGTATGGCTGTATGTATTTGTAGCAGTTAATGATATAGAAATAGTCTATGGTCAATATATGTAGAGTTTCATCCGAATTCTAATCATGTTGCTTTGTTTTGAAAGGATACTATTGTCCTCTCGGTCGAAGGCTAACTATGAAGCCAATATTTCAATTAAACGTGTTTAAAAAACTAGATGTGCTGATGTATTAAGACAATTTTGATTTCATTTTGTTGTTGGTATTGTTAGCAAAAACGTTTTGAATTGAATCGTTAGGAGGAATCTTCCTTGATATGGGTATCCATGACATAGACTACGTGTGCTGGCTGGCAGGCGAGAAACCCAATTCTGTGAATGCAACGGCTGTTAGATCATCCGATAACGCCGAAGCCTACAAGAGCATGGGTGAATACGATTCGGCGTCCGCCATTCTGACGTTTCCAAGCGGTGTGATGGGTCAGCTTGATATGTCACGTGAGAGTGGATACGGTTATAGTCAGACGGTAGAGGTACATGTCTATACAGGTATACAGTTGATCGTTTACATATCAAACCACCGGCTGAGTAATTAGAAATGATAAATTTCCCCGAGTACAATGGCTGGATAAAGTGGTATATTCGGTGCACTGCAGTTTGTATTGTGTTTAATGAGATGTGCGAATATTAAAAAACCGTTGGTCAACCCGTCTAAAACATTAAACATAAACCATTGCCGAATGTCTACACTCTTATAGTATTTGCTATTGTAGTTATGTTTGGTTAAGGTTCTAAATGTACTTTGTCTTTAAACGTTCTACTTCTGTTATCTTTATTTTATAGTTACCAACAAGTATCAGATACAGATACCAGATATATTTCACACTGATGTCGATATATCTAATGTCCTGCAGGTTCTGGGTACTAAAATGTTTGCAAAGAGTAAAAACATGATGGCTTCAGAGGTGGAATGTTCTTGTGCCGAAAATGGTACAAATGTTGGAAAAATGACTGACTCATTCATCACACGATATCTCAAGAGCTTCGAAATAGAGATGAATCATTTCTTGGATGTTGTGGAGGGTAAGTAATAAATGATAATCTTTATTTGAGTGTTTTCTCATTTCCAAATATTCATTTGCATGTGAATAGCCTTTATTTTAAGCTTTAATTTTCACAATAAATGTGCATAATATTATAAGGTAAATAACATATAAGTTATTTTCTTAAAATCCACATGAGAGATTATGATCGATCTGCTGAACGGTTATTGCAGTACTTAGGATTTCCGTATTTCCTTTCAAATCTTCAACATTGTCAACAATATCTCTTGACATACCTACCGTTTACCCTTTTTACACTATATAACCACGTCTTTTGCTAAAATAAGGATAAACCTTCAATAAATGTGTATCGCTTACCCGAGTATTATGGATAATGGCTGAAGTAAAGCAAAACCAAGAGAATACCAAATTGTCAACGAATCATAATCAAATACTTCTAATTACATAATGTAACAGATAAAACTACGGCAAACAAATTACCAAAGGAAAGATTAACAAGGAAGTCATCGGAAAGTGGAAAAAAAGAATAAGACCAGGTGTTCCGGGAGGGTGAGCGTCTGCTACTACATCCACCATGTCAATCTAGGTCAAATATAAAACATCCACCATGTCAATCTAGGTCAAATATAAAACAGTCGCCGTGTTATTGTGAGAACAGAGGATAATAAAAAACAAGTTTATTATGCTAACGAGTATAATAAAACAACAAGGCACACTAACGAGTATAATAAAACAACAAGGCACACTAACGAGTATAAAAAAACAACAAGACACACCAACGAGTATAATAAAACAACAAGACACTAACGAGTATAATAAACAACAAGACATATCAACGAGTATGATAAAACAACAAGACATACTAACGAGTATAATAAAACAACAAGACATACCAACGAGTACAATAAAACAACAAGGCATACAAACGAGTATAATAAAACAACAAGACATATCAGCGAGTATAATAAAACAACAAAACACACCAACGAGTATAATAAAACAGCAAGACATATTAACGAGTATAGTAAAACAACAAGACACACTAAATAATAAACAACAAGACATATCAACAAGTATGATAAAACAACAAGACATACTAACTAGTATAATAAAACAACAAGGCACACTAACGAGTATAATAAACCAACAAGACACACCAACGAGTATAAAAAAACAAGACATATCAACGAGTATGATAAAACAACAAGACATACTAACTAGTATAATAAAACAACAAGGCACACGAACGAGTATAATGAAACAGCAAAATATATCAAGGAGTATAATAAAACAACAAGACACACAAACGAGTATAATAAAACAACAAGACATATCAACGAGTATAATAAAACAACAAAACACACTAACGAGTATAATAAACAACAAGACATATCAACGAGTATGATAAAACAACAAGACCTACTAACGAGTATAATAAAACAACAAGGCACACTAACGAGTATAA